ATTTGATTAGTTTTTACTCGCCGTTAACAGCCGAGTGTTGATATGTAGTTCATTACATCCTTGTCGATTGGTTCTCGGTAAATGTTTGTCTCATTGGCAACCATACCTCATTAGTTGTAATTGGTGGCATTAATTGTAGGCCAAATTGAGTTTAAAATAATGAACAAGCATGGTGACTTTTGACGTTCTATTTGTCAGCATTCCTCTTCCGTCATTTATTTGTAGCATCATGTTTGTAGCTTATGCAAACAGAAAAAACTTTAAGGATGTTCGCTCCTCTTGTTTTTGATTTTTTGTCAGATATTCGGAATCCTCTGGTTTTATCCATGTTTTCCATTAAGAAATTTTGTCCACTAACCCCTACTTTTCTTTTCATAATTTTATTACATATAGTTTAAAAAGCCATATTTGAAAATCTTATAAAATCCTTGTTATTTTTTCAATGTTTTTGAAAGAAAAAAGGTGCCAATGTTAAATGTATGAAAAATCTAGAGAGAATCATTTCCCGCCAAATTTTCAATGGCTTATATCTCGAAAACAAGCACACGGACCCTTAACTTTTTTATACTTTTTTAGTTCCTTTATTTATATACTATCAATTCATAACAGTCTTTTAAAAAGTTTGTTATTTTGAAACAGAGTAGCGAACATCCTTAAAATGATTTCTATTTCAAATCAACAATTTCACTCAGGACAAGAAACAGAATGAACAGTTATAATATGGTTTCTCTTTTACAATTCCTTATTAACCGTAAGCTTTACATTTTATTGCTATAAAACACATTATTACAATCTTCATAAACATACTAATGACAAAACGCACAGAAAAATAGTAGTTTAAGACGGAGGACACTACCAAGTTTTAACTTTAAAAGAATCAGAAGCACCATTTCACATTTCTCATTTATTAGACAAATATATATTGATAACAAATAATACAATAGATGACAAAAAATGGATAATATGCCTTCTACTTTATGTTATTTGAACGGACATTGAAACTTTTTCCTATTCAACGAAACGACGGAGTTAAACGATAAAAAAGGTGGTTTCGTTTTACAATATTTGTAACGGAGTACTGTCTTTCGAATGTTGAAGTCGTTTCCTACATTATATTCTTGACGAATTTGTCAGAATCCTGACAAAATAACAGAATAGTTACCAAGTACTTTGTTATACCTTTAACGACTCGATTTGGATGGAACATTGAACGGTGTATACTCGATACTATTGTAAACGATAAAATTGTTCCATATTTGCACAATTGTAATTCTCTTTCGAGTATATTTGAACGAATAGCTTAATTCTTACTGAAACTTTAAATAACTAATGTTGGCCAGGTCACTAATCACGTAAATGCAATAGAGTACGTTTCATAAAGAATCACGTACCGTATATTGATACACAATATATAAATAAGATATATCTGAGATAGAAGGTGAACGAGCAAAATGTTACCCCGAGAAAACAATGTCAACCAAACAAAGAAAAGGTTGACAATGTTTACAATGAGTAAACAATCTACTCTATCACCCTTTCATCTATGTGTTATTTAATTTATTATACTGAATGTTCTATCTTTTAAATTTTAAATTGAAAGTTATAAACCATTACTTCATGTACATATCAACGTTACAGTCAATAGAAAAATTACATATGTTGACAGTCTGTGAAAAAAATCTGAGGTCGAAACGTAGAACTTTGGCATTATCTTTAAAATAATGGTCATTGTCTTTTGATTTATCTATTTTTGATTGGTCTGCACGAGAGGATGACATTAAAAAAAATGTTTCCCGCTGACCTATGGGATTGTGTAAAATGTCTTCCCCGTTATTTACCAATCAAATTCTTGTATTTTGATGTAACGTACAATAAAACAAATCATTTAAATAGGGAGATATGGTATGATTGCAAATATGACATATATTTGTAGACTAAAGAACAAAGGATAAAAATTTAGTTTGTTTTATTGCTTGTATCTTCGATCCGCAATCCGAATTTAAATTGCCAAAGCACTTAAGAAAAGAACTAATAAACGCAAAACAACGTCAGATACACACCGTCTTTAATAAAATCGCAAAAGTGTCGGTTATGCGTTTTTTTTAATTCATTGATATTAAGAAGTTTTAAACATATTTTACAATTAGTTTATTCATATGTTTAGCGTTGATTTAGTCTTTTTTTTAAATTGACGCACGCGAAACCATTTCTTAAAAATACAGATATGAAAAGATAAAAAGAAGGCCATACAACATGCTTTCAACTGATTTTCTTATTTCAAAAATGAACGAAAGGGGAGCTTTGGATTATACGTCATTGAAACAACAACCCAATAACTATAATGACTAAAACACATTTTACTACAAAAGATATGTGTCTATACAAATATGTCAAGCTAAAAATGTTCAGCTGATTAGTATCATTTATGAATATATCAAAGATCTACCATTAGCATAATTTTATCTTAATAAAAATAGAAAATGAATAACATTATACAGTGAGTGAGCAGGTTCCTGATTTGGGACAGACACATAATTATGTGGGGATTAGATATCAGACAACCTTGATTAATGAACTAATAGCAGATACACAAAAGATAATACTATAATAATCCGTACAGCAAAAGCACTTTGCTAAAAAGTGACGATTTATAGATAAGAAAAACAAATTCATTTTTAAAATCGATTGCCTAATCCCTTTCAATAATGATTAATAATGTCACCAATCTCAGTGCATCTTCGTCCTTAAAAATAACGGCGTTCCAAACGGTAGAAACTAATGAGCAACTACACAATTCCCTAAGTCAAATGGACATTTCCAATTTGTATCACAAAATATCAATACCTCATTTAGAATTCTATGGTGTCAAGTCGTAAGAACTTCTTAATCAGTTTGTCTTTTCACTGCTGTTTTGTACCTTGTAACCCATCATGATGTTTAAAATGTCTTTCTCGATTTAAGAAGAGATGCGAAAGATACCAAAGGAACATTAAAACTTATAAGTCGACAATGAACCTACAATGCCATGGCTAAAAACGAAAAACGACAAAACGACAAACAACATTAAACAAAACACAAAATAGACAACTAAATTCTGAACAACACGAACCTCGACAAAACCAATGGTGTACTTATGTGCACCTCTGTAGAGGTACATGATAATAAAATCAAAATGGAAATTCATTTATTGTATTATACTGACTTAGGATTAATATTTCATTATTATATATACAGTGGTTATAAACACTAAAAAATAAATCTAATACAGTAATATACTAATTTATAATATATAATGCACTTAATCAAACATTACTGTTAGAATTCGGTGCAAGGATATTTAAATCTTCTTGTTGTACTGCATTCATTTCCTATGAGCATGGTTAATGGGTTTTCCCAGCAAGCAATAACCCAGCTTTTTGTTTATTGTCAAGTTTATGATAAATATCATCAAATTTTTTTGGTGTACAGCAAATCAAAGCTTGAAACATATTGCTAAATGTAAGGAGACTTTTAAAACGAATCTGTCAGTATTTATACTATTGTGTCGCTTATTACTTGTAAATTATTAGATAAGTCATCCGTAAAATAGAACAGGAACGTGTAAATTAAGGAAATTTTAATTTATGTTAAAGTACACTCTTTAAGGTAAAGTTATATATCCTGGTAACTATGATGAGTTTATTTATATCTATTTACGCTGTATTATAAATTATTTTTGTTCGCTTTATCGGTAATTTGCTAGCGTCAGGTTGATAACTTACATCAATTGAAAATATTTTGAACTGAAAGAGTCAATTAGGTCTGAACCGATTTAAAACAAAAAAAAAACAATCAATAAGCCAGTAAATCATGCTCAGTCTTTCATTCAACGTTTAAACATTAAACATTAGCACTGTTGTAAACTTAGTACTAAATACATTTAAATATCGGTTTATTAACATCTGCGCAGTTTAATTTTATGAATCTTTAGTACCTGTTACCTAAATGTGCATTTCCTTATTTAGAAAATGGTTGATTATTTTTAAACATACTTTTGAACTAACTATTGTTCAAAAGTATGTTTAAAAATACAAATTTGCAATTACATTTCAATCGTTTTTTTTCTCCTTCTTATCGTTATACGAGTTGTGACAATTAATACAGGTTAAAATATTGATCAAATTGCATGAGGTTTATTTGCGAAATATTGTTTTTACACTTTACACTATTTTTGACATTTTTACCTATTATGTCTGTTTGTTTTGTTCACACATTGGTTTCAATATAATGGAATTTTATGCGACTGTCATACAAGTGAGAGGTTTAGCTAGCTATAAAACCAGGTTTAATCAACCATTTTCTACATAAGGAAATGCCTGTATCAAGTCAGGAATATGACAGTTGTTTTCCATTCGTTTGATGTGTTTGAGCTTTTGATTTTGCTGTTTGATAACGTACTTTCCGATTTGAATTTTCCTTGGAGTTCTGTATTTTTGTTATTTTACTTTTTATGCATAACGGAAGTAAATATCATGAAATAAAAATAGACATTGATTTGTGACTATATGTACCATAAGTACCCCACCATATGTTGTGATTGTACCAGGTCAGGCAATCTTGATCATGTGTTGTCATTATTACATGTCTTTTCTTGTACGTCTGTGTTTTTAAGAAGTCGGGTGTGGATGATTGGTGCTCGGTTTTATGTCCAAAGCATCAAGCAAAAATATCGATCTCCATAAGGCAAATTCAAAAAGGGGAAGTCCAAAAAAACTGACAAAAGCAAACACTATTAATCAACGGAACAAGTGATAAACAACTGCTATATTCCTGACTTGGTACAGGCATTTTCCGAAGAAAATGGTAGGCTTAACCTGGTTTTATAGCAAGCTAAACATCCCACTTGTATGACAGTTGTTTATAGTTCTTATACGTTTTGTCAGTCCCAACATTTTACATATTAAATCCAAATGATATTTAAATATTTGAAGAATTTTAGAACAATTTACAAAGACATTGGCTCGCAATATCGATTCATTTACTCTATAACCTGTTATTTACATTGTTAACTTTTTTATGTTAGGCCTACAGGACACATTTAACATATGCCAGTATACGATATAAAAAAATAAACCTATATCAATGCAAACTGTGCGTTACATTTGATTCCTGTTTTTGTTTCTATAGCAGTCAAGCCAAGTTCAGTGTTTCCGAAGGTGAATTCAACTTCTAAACCTTTCCGACGTTCCGAATTCGAAAGATCAATGGCAACCTTACCAAGAAAAAAACAACCATCTTCAGTTGTATGAACTGGATCATAATTTTCGCTTGCATATATCTTAAACCATGTTTTACTATAATCCTTTTGTGGTTTATACGTTCTCTGTATTGTAGCTCCAATTCGAATTACCGTATCTTTTTCTACTATTTTATCGAATGCATGTCTACATCGCCAAAATCCATCTATGAATTTACGATGTTTGTCGTCGTGAATCGCTGAATCGAATTTAGGATTAAATGATATTTCATATGTAAATTTACTAATGCGAGATGAAATAAGGTCTGATTTATGACCGAACAAAACAGCTCCTTTCAAAACCGCCAAATCCGGATCAAACGGTATAACTACTCTACAGTTTGAAAATTCACGTCGAACAGCCTCTTGAACAAGGACGCATGTCGAAAAACCACCGACAAGAAGAATCTGATTTAGGGAGTTTGCTTTTTTCATTTTGAAAATTTCTTGAATAAGTTCTAGAATATCTGCAATTGTTTTGTCAAACAATTTCTTGAAGACATCAGTGTCGATTCGCACTTTATCACCGCGAATGACTATGGAATCAGAAAACTGTGACGATGCTAATGCACTTTTAAAATCTTTGTTTATGTGTGTTTTACAAAGTTTGTTTACTACCGTCATTGGTATAACCATGTTAACCTTTTTCGTATCTGGTGAAAATGTGATTGTTCTCTTTTTAGTTTCAAATTCTCTGATTAAGTCAAGGTAGGATTCAGGATTTTCTCGTTTAAATATTTCAATAAGAGATTCGCCTAATATGCTGATTAACATTTGTATATATTCTGAATCAACACAAGTGCCCCCACACTTTCCACCAGTAGCTCGACATAATTCCTTCAAACAACCATCAGATAATTTTTTATGAACTGTGATGTCTGCTGTTCCGCCTAAAGAATATCATGGTGCTTTAAAAATCGTTTTCTACATTATTACTTATGGTTGATAAACATTATACTCACTATATTTTGGAAACATTTACATATTTTGTTTTAAATTTTTCTGATCAAAAGCTGGAAATTTAGCATAGCAATAAGTGCTGAAACATTTGTAAATAGTGCAATACGTTCATTTATGAGCATGGATTAAGAGAATACAGACAATGAAAGTGTCCCGTCTATATGTTGGGCATTAGAATAACAAACGCATGAATTGGTTTAGGTAAATCCTAAATAACTTTGAAATAAAAAGAAAAAAATAAATGATTTTTTTTTTTAGATATTTGGTGCAATGTTATGAATTAATGTGAATTAATAAGTCCTGTTAGAATTACTTCTGAAAAAGACTCAGAAAAGGTTAGAGACTTCAAAGTGAGAACGCAAGACGCATGTTTTGTCTACATGAGGGTTGTTAGAGGTGCTCAAGACAAAACAATTATTAAACCAAATCAAGTACGTCTAATCCTTTTTTCTAAAAAAAGATACCAGGACCTTGTTGGTAAATATTCCGTATCAACTCCACAAATAATACATGATTGTCTTGAAGTATAGATTCGAGGTACTGACGTTGTTTATCATCTTAATTACGTGTTAGAGTGTTCTTTTCATTTGTCTTTGATATTTTTAAACTTTACTGTTTAGTGTATTTATGGTATTATCCTTTTGGCGTGGCTCGGTATTTATACATCTCGCCATTGTGTTATTGTGTTATGGTCATTTTTTATATTCGTGTCTCTCATTTTTGCTTATATGCTTTGTCTATAGAGTGTCTGTATGCCAATTTGTTTTTCTTTGTTGACATAGTTGTTTGTTTTTATACTGATTAAGATTATAACATAATAGTGACTGCAATACTCCATTTTTTTGACATTTTTTTCTATTATGTCTGTTTATTTTGCTTACACATTGTTGTCAATATAATGGAATTCTATGCGACTGTCATACAAGGTTTAGGTTTAGCTAGCTTAAAAAGCAAGTTTAATCCACCATTTTCTACATAAGGAAATGCCGTACCAAGTCAGGAATATGACAGTGGATTTCCATTCATTTGATGTGTTTTTGCCATTTGATTAGGGACTTTCCTTTTGAATTTTCCTGGAAGTTCGGCATTTTGTTATTTTACTTTTCGCACTTGATACAATAATCCTATTTACCTGATCTGTCATTCATACATGAAATAAGCTGATGAAGCTGATCACAGTATTTTACTTGCCATGAGCAACACGACGGCACAACTAGTGAAGCAGGAGCTGATAACCTTTTTGAAAATTTCAATTTACTCTCGTGTTTTCATGGATTCGTGTTGCCTAAATAGTTTTCTGTGTCTTGTTTTTTTATGTTCGCCTTTCCTATAAGTCATTGGTTTATTTCTTTTTTTTCCTCTAATGTTTTTGTTGGCCAAATATAGTTAGTATAGTAAAAGTATATTGAATTTCAACGGGAAAACCCTTTCCATATGCCTACCTATTAAATAGATCACATGACTTGTTGTATGTACATCACATTCGTGGATTGTAAATTTTAACACGTTCTGTATAACAACCTTAAACTGATTATCAATAGCAATATCGAGATACAACCAATGTGATTAAAAATATTCCAGATAATAGTGCGACACAAAATCTGATTTGTAAATATCTAAATCTACTGCGTTTCTGTTTTAATGTGATCGTGGAACAAAAAATCGAATTTGTTTAATTTATATAATTTTTTTAATATTTTACAATGCATAAAAATATATATTTGCTAACATTTTGTAATTTTTATTAAAAAAAAAGTCAAACCCAACTTAAAATGAAATTGTATTTTACTAGAAGAACGGTTTATAAACATCAATGCCAGTTAGCCAATTTAACCCTGCTACGTTTTTATTGTATACTTTTTATCGAAGGAAATAATCTCTTCTGAAGATAGTTTTAATGTATTTGATCCAACCCTATTTTACTATGAGTACTAGTACTTTGGTAAAAAGGATGACAAGCTGTAATTACCTCCAATATCTACAATCATATACTTGGTTCCTGGTTCTGACATTGTGAATCCCGGTTCTATACCAGTGAATTTTTCTGTGGGTAGGTATTGGCAATATATGGAAGCAGCTTCAGGTTCTAATGCGAGGAGGAGATTATCCTTCGGTATACCAGCCTTTCAAAGTAATAAATAGTCAATGTAAAATGTTATTATACTTTTACATATAAATTGGTAAAGGTCATCTTACGATATTCAATTCGATGTATAGATTGTAACAACGTGGAAGTAAATAATTATAGTACTTAATCAGTTTCTACCTTTAAGGTTCATCATAACCTTTTAGCAAATATGGCCGTATTTACACCACAAATTTCACAAATTTGTACAGACAAACCTGTGCACATATAAAAGTTTTGGAGCATGGCTGGACCTATATATAGCTAGATATATAAAGTTTAAATGCATTTTAAGTTCCAGAATATTAAAAGCTTCACTGAATTTTGATATTCATTTTTTTTATTATTCCTGCAGAAGGTGCTAAAATAAACTAAGTTGAGAGAGATGTTTGAGAAGCTCCCCTCATATCATAAATGTTGTGAGTTATATTGATTTAAAAGGACAATAGTTACCTGCAAACAATAGGTGATTTAAACTGTGTACCTGAGTGGACCGTATTAAATAAAACTTATGTGTTAATTTATTTTCCTATCTTTTGCAGACTGGAAAAATGCACAACAAAATCCAGCTAAGTTTTGATTTTCTGTAACATAAACTACATATAACTTTTATATATCTAAGGTCCGGCCATACTTTAAAACTTTCCTAGATTCATCGGTTTGTCTGTACTCAGAGAAGATTTTGTGGTGTAAACACGACCATATTTTTCAATTCCTTTTGATGAACCTCAATTGACATACAACCTTAAGCTTGATCAGTTAGGTTTAGCTTTAATGTTATCATCATAATTTTTATCTACTGGAGGCAATTTAAATTGTTGATAAAAATCATCAAATTTGAGAAATTATGATGGCTGTTCAATATAGTTGTGTTGTTTTCTACATAATTTCTTTCTGCTTTTGGTCAATGGATATATATTTATGTTGCAAAACCTTTCTTAAAATATATATAATGTACAAATCCTTCTTTGCCAATTACTTTATTCTATTTACATGCTTTTGTTAACTGATATCTTACTTATAATTACAATTCAGTTTGTCAACTTTAAATCTTAACTGCGTTGGTACAAAATTACAAAATAAATCTAAATTATACGACAAAAGAGACGGTTTTAACCTTCCTTCTTTAGATGAAGACGTTACTCTTGTCGCATCCTATGTCGTTTACATTCTACAACTTTTGATTTTGCCATTTAATAGGGGACTTTCCGTTTGGGATTTTCTTTGGAGTTCGGCATTTTTGTTATTTTCCTTTTTTTTGTAAGGCTTGCCAGAATATAAAAATATGTTCTAATAAAGGCGTCTTTAATGGGTGATACCTTGCATTATCACAATCGTTACTTCTACAGGGTATTAGAAACAACTTTCAAACTAAATGTGTCGGAACGACACGAATGGCCCAGCTCACAAAAAAGCTTGAAGCCATTTTTAGGAGTGGAAATTTGAGAATGAAAGTCCGTATAATAAAATAAAATCAGCGGAGCAGAATCAAACGTTGACTCTATCTGTAACTCATCATAGTAGACTCACATACTAATTTCAGCTCAATATATGAATGCGTTTTTAAAAAAAAAGTCCGTATAACTTATTTTCACGATATTTCCAAAGTCCAAAGCCTATAATTTCGGCAAAAATCAGCTGATCGGAACCAAACGTAAACTCGATCTATAACTCGTCATAGTATACTAACATACTAGAAATTAGCTCAATGTGAGAAGGCGTTTAGAAAGGAATTCCGTATAACTGTTTATTGCGGAATGACGGATTTACACAATGGCGAAATGACGAATAAGGCTAAAACTATAAAAACAATAACCGTGAGTATGAGTATATTGTTTATATGTATAATGTTATTGTTTTAAATTAATATTGCACAGCCATTAACACGCTACCTTTTACCGCATAATATATGATGTAGTTCTAAATGCAGGTACACTTTTCACACTAGTGTAACAATGACAAAACACTTGCGATTTTTTTAATAAGGTTATATCATGTATATAAGAGAGGCGAAAGATACCAAAGGACATTCAAACTCATAAGTCGAAAACAAACTGACAACATCATGGCAAAAAATGAAAAACGCTCAAAAGACAAGCAACAATATACAAAACACAACATAGAAAACTAAAGACTGAGCAACACGAACCCCATAAATGACTGTGAAGGATCTTACAAGTTATTTTATATATTACGAATGACCATTAAACAAGATGAATAACAGTATCTGAAATACGGAATAACACATCATATTACCTTTTCTGCACTTTCTCTCATAAAATATTTTGCATTATCTGTCCAAATTGCAGGAACAGTTAAAACCCATCTTATATCCCTCGACTCTACTCCTGTACCTTTCGTGACCAAATATGATATCAGATGATTCTTCAGAGCCATTATAGATAAAGCGAAAACATCAATTGCTGGCATTGATTTGCCTGTTATATCCTTCAGTATCATTTCTCTTGAGACATTCTGAAATATTCGTTTTTGTTCATGTTAAAATTTACTTACTATCACATAATTCAATCAAATAAAGCTTATTTATATAGATGCAGGAAGTATACAACAATATTATTACAATGTCTATGTTTATTATTTCGACCTAAATTTCCAGTTGAGGCAGTAACAAACATTCTTTTTTAAGTCTTAATGAGAACAACATGAATCCATAAAAAAATACGTCATTTTGTTATTCGGTTTCTCGTAATTAGATTTATGAAGATGTGGTATGAGTGCCAATGAGACAACTCTCCATCCAAGTCACAATTTGTAAAAGTATCTATTTTTTAACAATGCACATTTCTTACACATTGCCTTGAATTTAGATAACTTAAATTTCTCCTTCTTCCATTGTCTAAACCTAAAATGCATGAATATTTCATATTTACCTTATTTTTGTGCAAACACATTTTAAATCTGTGGAAATAATAATACTTGTCTTGTTCGTTTTCCATTACAATTTCTGCATACTTGTTTTCAGCTTCGTATCCAAATGAGTCAAAGTGTTTGTTAGAATCTAACAACAAACATGTTGGTGTTTTTAATGAAAGTAGTTGTTTTCCACCAGCATTCCAGGCCTGATTTGCATCAATTGTCAAAGGATCTTTATCAAATGCGTACTTTAACGAGAAGGCGTAACCAGAATATGTTGTTCCAAAATCAATAGCGGCCACAAGAAGGTAGCTCGAATTCATGGCCATCTTATGTAGATTATCTGATGAAAAAGAAGAGGAAATACCAAATATATCAAATACAAATAATACTGGAAGGTCCCTGGACGGGTGATGGGATAATGTACATACTTTGCCGAAACCATTTTTATACATAAAAAGTTACTACAGGAATCGACATTAATATCGTACAATACAACAGACCACACCAACCATTAACACCTGGCTCATATGTAGTAAAAAACAGATGACGTTTAAACAAATTTATTGATTCGTTGCATTTAGTTGTGTACAGTTATGACATAAATTGGGAAAGAAAGAAAATTTAAACCTTTCGAAAAAATTTTTAGAGGAAAATTGCGGAAATTGAAATGAATAACTACATGTACTGTCTTATTTGATAACGAATAAATAATTTCTACACTTTTTGTTTTGTGGTTCTATATAATACTACAAAATTATTTCATGCACATGTACACGAATCAAACAGTCATTTACTCCATCCATCTAAATAACCTGTCATTTTCGATATTCACCTAAGGTATATACAGTCATCTGTATCGGTTAACGGTTGTTTGAAAGTGATTGTGTGTACAGAAAATTGTTTCCTGTGAATACAAAAAGTGACCACGTAAAATATATTAAGTTGGAGATCAAAACTCCTCCAAATGGTTAAAATTGTAATTCATAAAACACACCGATATTAAGTGTATACAAAAATAATCTTCAAAAGTCCAATTAGGAAACCTCTTACAGACTTTTTATATAATACTTCCATATATTCAAACTTCAATAAAACCAAACGATTTATGAAAATTGTAATTCTTTTTCTTGAACATTGGCCAATTTAAAATAGTATATTTTAATTAAACAGATTTTAAAGAGCACCGAAGCGAATACGTCACTTATGAAATAATAATGTATGTATGTAAGTATTTGGTTTGTGAACCGGATTTGTTTCTGCTTAATCGATTTATGACTATTGAACAGCGGTATACTACTTTTTACATTATCAAGTACAAAATAATAGAGGACTTATTATAAAGTCAAGGACATTTTCAATGTTAAACACTTATGTTCATCATCTGTTATTTTCGTCGTATATATTATATAAGACAGACTAATAAAGCAGAAATATAGATTTTGTGATGACCTTGACTGATAGCAATTGCATCTTGGGGTAACCGTATTACTGCCTTGTCATATCTATGAGTAATATTTGAATAAGTTAGATCCATTTAAGGACTATCAAAAAGTATAAGTTAGAGGCAACAGTAGTTATTAATCCACTAAGAAGATACAAAGCAAGGTAAAGAAAACCACCAACAAACTTGGAAAATCGCGTGAACTCCAAAAGGAGCAAGACATAGGGAATACATTATGTAAATGTTATATTCAAACGGATGTTTCTAATAGCGATTTCCAATAAAATGACATATAAAAATACATATACCGTATACCCCTTCATACTTTTTCAAAATGTATTGATGTGTACTTTCTTTTACAAAACGAGAACCAAAATAATAAATTAAAATAATATCTTACCGTTTTCAATCAATAAAACGTCTTTTATTACAAAGATGAAACACTCGGTCGACTACTCATTTTGAATTTGTTTTTTATCGGTAACAATGAAATCCTATATTTATGTCATTCACTATCTTCAGTTGAACGTAGGTAAACATATTCTTCGGTTCAACATTAAATAATAAATTAAACATAATGTAGTTTTATCAGTACTTTGAAAAGGGCGGTCTTTAATGATCCGAACGATATAAAGTTATTAGAAGTTTTTACCCAATGAACAATTGCTCAAGTGATAACTAAGTTTTATCATGCAGAACACATGTATCGAGCACGTATTTGTATATATGACAGATGGTATATGAGTTTTCGGGAGGTGAAGCTTCTTATTCATGTGGTTGAAATTCAATTACAAACCTGTTCGTGCATTTTTCATTTTTATTCAAAGCAAAATAAATATCCAAGACACCTGGGACGATCTCACTACACAAAAGATCTCTTTTGTTTACTTATTGAACCTCGAACTTATTAACCCGGTGTAGGTCTTTAAGTTGCAGGTTTTTTTTACTAAAAGTCAATCGGGCATGACTAATAAGACACGCCCTCTTAAAATCTGGGGGTCCAACATAGGATCGGGTAAAAAAATGAAATACCATTATGTACAATTTCGGTGAAATAAAGTGCTGTTGGTTGATTTAATATCTCCGGTCAATAATCAAACGGTATTTGAGTGGAAATACAAACATGTCCAAAACCGGGAAATGCAGGCTGCAAAAGGAATTTATTTTCAAAATAAGTCCATATCGCACAGTGGCCGTTATTGATTGTGAATTCATATCGTTTCGTTTTTGGCATTTGTCTACCGGAGGAAAAACAAGAGGCTCTCAAGAGCCTGAATCGCTCACCTGTAATTTATTGCTTCAATCTTTCATCAATGATTATTTTTGCTTTTCAATATATATTAATGAATGGCTTAAAACTTCCATTGAAATGTTTTTTGTATCTGTTATATTTTCATCAAAATCAAAGAAATGCATTGTACCCCTATGTTTCATTTTAGCCATAGTGCCTATGTTTCTTCACGTACAAGAAAATAAAATAAAAAAATTATATTAAATACTCTGAAACTCATTCAGCCCAAGTTTGGCTGAAATTGATTCAGCAGTTTCAAAGGAGAAGATTTTTTAAAGTAAGCAAACTAAATGAACAAATTGTGAAAAAATGATTTTAAAGGGCAATACCTCCTTAAGGGGACAATTGACAATTTTGGTCATGCGAACTTATTTGTAGATCTTACTTTGCTGAACATTTTTTCTGTTTACAGTTTATTTCTATCTTTAATTATATTCAAGATAATAACCAAAATCTGCAAAATTTGCTTAAAATTACAAATTAAGTGGCAGCAATCCAACAATGGGTTGTTAGATTCATCTGAAAATATCAGGGCTGACAGAGCTTGGCCTAATAAACATTTTTAATTCTCATCAGATTAGCTCTAAATGCTTTTGTTTTTGAAATATAAGCCAAAAATTGCATTTTACCCCTACGTTCTATTTTTAGCCATGGCGGCCATGTTCTTTTGCGAAACAGAAAATAAAACACAAACTTTATTCTAGATACCCTTAGAATCATTCAGCTTAAGTTTGGTTGGAATTGGTTTAGTAGTTTCAGAGAAGACTTTTTAAAGTTAGAAAACATGATAAAGAAATTGTGTAAAAATTGTCCTTAAAGGGCAATACCTCCTTAAGGGGTTAATTCACAATTTTGATCATACGAACTTATTTGCAGATCTTACCTTGCTGAACATTTTGCTGTTCAGTTTATCTTTATCATTAATAATATTCGAGATAATAACCAAAAACTGCAAAATTTCCTTAAAACTACCAATTTAGTGGCAGCAACCCAACAATGAGTTATCAGATTCAACTGAAAATTTCAGGGCTGATAGTACTTCACCTTATGAACACTTTAACTCCATGTCAGATTTGCTCTAAATGCTTTGGTTTTTGAGATATAAGCCAAAAACTGCATTTTACCCCTATGTTCTATTTTTAGCAATGGCGGCCATGTTATTTTACGAAACAGTTAATAAAACACATACTTTATTCTAAATACCCTAAGCATCATTCAGCTTAAGTTTGGTTGGAATTGGTTCAATAGTTTCAGAGGAGAAGATGTTTGAAATAGTTTACACCAGACGAACGACGACGGACGAGGACGGACGACGACGGACGACGGACGACGACAGACGACGACGGACGACGGACGACGGACGACGACAGACGACGACGGACGACGACAGACGACGACGGACGCCAAGTGATGGCAGAAGCTCACTGTTCCTTCGGAACGGTGAGCTAAAAAGGGGGGGAGCTCATAACTTAACTTACGATTTTGATCGTGGTTCAACTTTGTTCTATAACGGCATACATTTTACCTCTAGTCAACGCTACATCTTATTAAAGTGATGCTCTAAAATTGTTATCATTTGCTTAAGTTTGATCCACTTTACATCTCGTCGTAAATATGCATGACATATTTGCCACTGGACATCAAGGGAGCAATTTATTAATCAGCACCATTAAGTGATGTACAATCATTAGTCTTTAGTTGATAGTTATCTCAGGCAGTTTACCATTATTTATAAATTTAATTTTCAAGCGTTAATTTCACCATTTCTTTCCTTATTTTTCTCTTTGCATTTAATCTTTTTGAACATACAATAACGTAGTCCACATTAGGGGTTACATTATATCCTATCCAACCATACTAGGAGGAGGGGCGAAGAACAGAAAAAAAATCTGCATTGAGTGGCAATAAATCATAAGCGTACAACGACGGCAGTCACTAAAGTGAACCGATCTAGTTTAAATCGATCTAAATGTCCTAGTGTAAACGGGGTCTAAGGGACAAAATTTGCTGTTTCAAGTTTTTTTTTATATCTGGTATAATAGTTGTTATAAAAGCAGCCGAACATCCAAACTGACACACCCCTTTAGCAAGGGTATACTGTCGGACTAGAGAGATCCAGAGCGGTCAATGTTTCTATACCCAAGTCAAGCCTTTGGATTTGAATGAAATGAGATAAAGGTATACATTAATGTGGCAGCTACCCAACGACACAGAAAAATCAAAATACTAAGAGTCAAAGATGCGTATACAGAATAAGCTCAAAACTGTCCCATGACTGAAAATTACGGAATTAATTTAACAATATCTATCACAACATTATTTACAGTTAAAGATATCCTGACAAGCACAAGTGTTTGGTTGAAAAACATCACCTGCCATCTTTTTTTTAAATTTCGATCGGTGGAAATTAAAGATGGTGTAATATAAACCAGTAGAAGAAAAACACTTCACTGTATAGAATAACGGTAAAATAAATGATGATAATGAATGACGTCAAGTGGAATATTATACAATTACTGTCTTTTGATGAGGTAAATATGTGGTTTTATTGACTTTTGAAAAACTGATATTCACTGAGGCCAACGGCCGAAGTGAATGTCACTAGGTTTTTCAAAAGTCAATTAAACCACATATTTACCGAAACAAAAGACAGTAATTGTTTTATACGATGTTCCGAAAGAGAAAAATATGTATTTAATAACAGTTATTTATTAAAACCAATTGTACGTCAAACATTTTACCGTTATTATACACGTAAAAGCACGCGGCGTTTTCCGCGGTGAATATACTTTTTCAGCAGGTTAATATGCTTTTTTATTCAAAATCCAATTCATATAGAAAACCCTACTAAAATTCTATCAATATGGAATAATAAATGAATACTCAGGACAATTACATGTAAAAAATATAATATGAGTATTAACCCTGCTTTGTACTAGATCGACACGCTGAGCCAGTTTTTTTACGCGTAAGTTCACATGAAGATATCATTTCGCAGGAAGAATATAGTCACCATACCCGGAAACATTTCTGGCTCCGAACCGACAAGTCTGTGCTCTTACTTTGAAATACCGCTAGTTTAGCGTTGAAACAGCAAATACATGTACCATTTTTACGTCTTTGTTAGACCCGGTCGAGATTCGAAAAAAATTATTTTAGAAACTACACGTAAATATGGATGGCCGACTTCTGAATAGATTTAATGGATCAATGCTCTCTGCAAATTCACTATTTTTGCACCAATTATTTAAGGGGTTCGGATGTGGCCAGCTGCTGCAAGGCTAAATTCTGTCTTTATTCAATATATCCTCAGTTTCCAGTGATATTCCAATTTTCACGTCCTACCTCAATGTCTACATCCTATTGCAAGATCTACCTATTGTATTTAAAATTCATGTGTTCTCATCATGAACATGCATGAAATATTTGCCACTGGAGGTAAAGCAAACAACAATCAACCAACTCCATAAATCGATCAATGTACATAGTACACGAAGACAAGATCTTGTAAAATGTTATTCTGTAAAATTTCCATTTAAATTACTCAATGATAGTGCAAACTTTTTTTTATGGTATTGCAATTTACTACATAACTAAACACCTATACTTTTTTAACGTTTTTACTATGGTTCTTATCTACGATTTAATTGCGATTTATGATATAAGGTTTTGTCAGGCTATAAAACTTAGAAAGGTAAAAGGCTGTTTTCAAGTTGTTTGTTTATACTACATTTAGATGTGAAAAGGGAATGACGGACGACTAAAATAAAAGTGTTTGTTTTCATATAATATATTGTATTTCAATTTAAGAATGATTATCAACCTTGAGAAAATATTCCATCTATACACTTTTTGATCGAGCCAGGTATGATTGCTACTGAGACAACATTCCACAAAGACCAAATGTCACAGAAATTAACAACTATAGGTCACCGTACGTCCTTCAACAATGAACAAAGCCCATACCGCAAAATCAAACCTAAAAATACGATTTATTAATTAATTGGACAGAACAGAAAACACTAATTATTTTGCATTTGCATGAAACGTAGTGTAGGAAAATTATAGAATCAAAACCAAAATGAACATTTACCTGAATATTGTGAAGGACCTTATGCATCTAGGTCTGTTCGATTAGAAGTTGTGAAACATGCTGTTTAAATAGCTAATTGTTGGAAGAGTTTACCTACTGTTTTCATTTGGTGTCTTTACGAATCTATTTCATGATTACTGACAGATTAAAAACATCAAATATATATAACAAGAAGTTTTGGTGCAGAACATTCATTGGTCAATTGTAAATGAGGTCTGTATAGGGCTTTTGATTTCCTCATTTATCAAATAGAAAATCGTTATATTGAAAATTTGGAATTCAAAAATATAAATTTACCCCTTAATTTCATAAAACTATCTAATGGTCCTATCTAGATGCTAAAAAAATATAATAAATAAATAATTAAATGATGTAATGCCATTTAATCGGTCCGTTTTGAATGCAATTAGGTAACTGTTATTTGTCTATATCAGTCTGAGTACTGTTTAACTATCATTTGTGTTGAATATATTTAGACTCGACCAATTCAGGGGAATTAGGTTTCTGCAAGTGTTTTAGTGTACTTTTCTAATGTTTTTGACAGTTTGAAAGTTAGTAAAAGGTCAATGATTAAGTTGCTATTGACATTAAAAGACCTCCTCACAAAAAGGGCTGTTCAAATCCCTTTTTGTTCGGAGGTCTTTTAATATCAATATTAACTTATCATTGAGCTTTTACTATTTCATAAAGACGTGCTCCAACATGCCACTTAGAAAGTGAAGTTTCATTGTAATATTTTAATGTGAGTTCTCAATTTGAACAATTCATTTAGTAAATATCCATATAGAAAAGTTCCTGTATTTAGCAACTTATGTAATTTTAATAGTTTCATCGAAAAATTGAACGAGATTATATTGTTTGCAACTCACACCATATTACCGGCTATAGTTAATGTAGATGTAATAGTTACATATATATATTATATTGTATTATATTTACTTTCGGGTTTATATGATCCGTTCATCCTATTTCGACTCTTCAAAATTCAAGAGTCTATCCTAAATTGAGGTAAATTATATGGCCTTCCAAATACCGTTTCGATTCCTAACATCACTGAAGAGACATTAATTGTCGAAATCCGGATATGGTGTACAAATTTTTGCACCTCATGTTTGCGGTATACCATCTTTTCCGCAAGTTTATTGTTTCCTGTTTGGTATTAAATTAATTATAAAGATCCATTTTGTTACATCTTGTCATCCGTTTATATGGCAATCTCCAATGGCAGTCAGCAGGGTTAAAGAACATCCGTTGTTCGACCTGTTAGGCAAATGCGTTTTGTTTAAATATACTTTTTAATTTTTTTGGCCTTTTGGAAAATGTTGTTTGTGCTGTATTTAGACCCCTCTACCAAGCAATTTGTTTTGCATGCACACGTATAAAAATTGTGGTTTTTATCCAACGCAATCATAGATTTGAACGTTGTTTTCAATTTAGACTTAAACGTGGTATAGTTTAAATCGTTCTCATTTATAACATACATCTTATGGGAAATATTTAGACACAAATCGGCAAATTAAATGAAACCAAATATCATGGAACAGGGGAAAGTTTTTTGTGACTCATATTCATAAAGTATTAAAACTGTTATTCATAGTTTTGATTGAATTATACCTTACGAAGTTTCAGAACTTTGTACAACTATTCACAGACGAATATTTTGCCATGCTTAATATAATAAAAAAATGAAAACAACATGTTATATAAATTTCATGTGTTCGAAGCGCTTTTCTATGATACATTCTGTTTCTCGAATGTGACATCATCGAATGTATACTGCCCATGAGCAAGACGATGGGTGCCAATAGTGGATCAGGATCTTCTTATCCCCCTTCCGAATCATCTCGGATCATCCCTAGTTTTAATGTTGGGTTTGTGTTGCACAGTCGTTAGTTTTTAAACAATGTTTTGTAAACTTGTTTATCTTTTCGTCGTCTTTCGACCGGATTGGATGCATTCTTTGCGACTTCTGAAGAAAAGATATGTAGTTTTTTAATGAGACATCATGGAGAGAAGGCGATGTGTAATGATGATAGCTATGACTGCATCTAACTGAGGTAAAGAGTTGAAAATATTCATCAGATTCACTGAGCTGCAGAAAGTATTAGATATGATAACTAAAACTACCCTGTAATTAAACTTAAGTTGCAACAAGCCAAAAGAAGATTGACCCCAGACTTTTTTACCGTTATGTTGAGGCTCTAAGGTTTGTTTATGCGCTAAAAGGTTTCATATTAGCGTACATGATGACTGTTTATTCCAGAACCAGGCGTTGTGTGCATGAACATGATATTGTACGATTTTTTTCATTTGATAGATAGTTGTCTCTTTGACCCTTATCATATTTCACTTTCAGATATGGAAAACCGGAATTTCCATTATATTATATCAAATATCGAAGGATATTTCCAATCCTACAAGAAAAGAAGATAAACGCTATATCAAATAACAGTTTAAAGTTTCTTTATTCAAAAAACAAAGGTACATGAGTTAACAAAACTCCTTTGTGAAAAAAAACAATCTTAAGAAAGCATTATATATATTCTTCTACACGTTATGGATTCTGCTCAATTTGTGAAGACCAAAAGTTGACCTAAAAAAAAACATCTACGCCATTTGGTATCATTTGGATAGTTGTTCCATTGGCAACTATACCAGAAATTCTTATTTTCGTAATGTTCCTTTTTGTTTTCTTGGATCTGAGCTAGTTTTCTTATTTGGGATGATAAAAGTGAGGTGTTTGAAGGATAAGTAAGAAAATTATATCCGTGTTTATTAAATTATAAGCCTGGTATATCTGAAGAAAATATCTTTTATTGTTTTTGTTTGTTCAGTACCTGAAAGGGCAAATGTTACAAACATATCATAATTAAATGAAATTTGAGAAATCATATCTATAAAAATTGACAGTAAACGGAAGAACCACCTTAAACTCAAATGTTGTAAACGCTGTTGAAGAGACTAGTAAACACGGCATGGGCTACTACAAATATGTGAACCAACGAAAAAATGTATTACAGGATATTGGGTTTAATTTTGATAACTTCTGTTGCAAATAATCGACTAGTATAAAAATGTCAGAATATTTGCCTGCATTTAAATAATGCAATCAAAATTCAAAATTGCAAAAATTTCTGAATTTACAGTTATCATCATGTATTTTCATTATTATTTCACTGTTCATTTTCTATCACATTTTTAAACGTGTTACAAACAGATCGTTAATACAACATTCGATTTTCTATCAGATGACGAGAGAATTTTTTGTACACATGGACATAGAGATATTTTCAATTCTAGATATATTTTTTTGCATTTATTCTTTATTTTGAAAGAAAATACAGGAGTCAAAACACGGTATATGATACATTTCTGAGTAATTTGATTCTGCCATATATTTTAGTCTAATATTTTTGTATTTTTTGTTTGTTTTTATTTCTAAACTCACATATTAGTAATAAGGTCGTTGTAAAGACTCTTCCGAACAACGACTTTAACGGAATGCGTAAATTTGCATGTAGCATAATGGCTGCAAAATAATCTGATAACAGTCTTACAGAAACAGCACGCATTCGCATTATCATTATTCCAAAAAAAAAAATAATTGTTCGCAAACAATAAAACTTCAGTGAAAATATTTCAATATTGATGAAATGCTTTTTATAATACGAGCTGTGTTGACACTGCTAGCACAGGGTGCTGCTTGTGTTTATATAAAAATAGAAAAATTTGACAAACAGAACGGAATACAAATAGTTTCAAATGTTACAATAATTGAAACAAAATTCGCTCGAACTGGGGTTGAATGTGCTACTTTTTGTACCAATGACGACAACTGCTGTTCTGCCAGCTTTCTTACAGACTTGGAACAATGCGAGTTAAATGAAGCATGTTGTCCTGAAACAAAACAAACCAAAGCTGCAATAACAATAAGAAAGAATCATGATAAAGGTATGATTTTTTAAAGATAAATAAAAAAAAAACTTCAAGATTATTATGATCCATTTATTTTATGTGTTACTGCGTTAAGTTATACGCAAAGTTCTGACTTACTAGCGACTGTCCTCTTAATAAAAATTGCTAATTGGTATGCAATGAACATTGTGTTCTGGTCAGTGGACAATACTAGACCATAACTGATAAAAAACAATAAAAACTTGTGCATTGAAATCCTTTACTCGAAATTTACGGTCAGCACAATCATTCGAACTTTGATGCTTGATATTTTGCGTGTGTGACATATTTTCATTGAATAACTCGGTATACATTTGATATTTCTAAAGAAAAACAGACTGAAAATTTCAATTTTTTATTTCATTTCTCATTGTAAATTATTCTGTATAAATGATGCAGTATAATCATCGATAAATTTTAAATCATCATTTTCTCTCATATTGAAGATTTGTTGAAGAATTGAAGATTTGAAGAAGAAAAAGTTAATGTCACTGCAGCTTTGACAATAAATAAATACTGAAATTAAATATATTATCAATCTTTGGTGGACGTAAAGAAAAACAGACTGATAATTACAATTTTTGCTTTCATTTTTCATTGTAATTTATTCTGTATGGATGATTCATGCAGAGGACGTTTACCCTGTTGACACACCCGGACTAGCTCCTTTTGTGGTTCATACGATTCCCTTAGTTTTTAATTTTGATATAAAAACAAGAAGATGTGCTTTGATTGTCAATAAGTCAACTCTCCATAGCGCATAGCAAACTATAAAAGGTCCCGAAATGACAAATGTAAAAAAAATCAAACAAAAAACTAACGGCCGGATTTGTGTACAAAAAATTGACGAAAAATAAATGTAATATACAGCATCAAACGACTGAATTACAGGTTCCTGACTTGGGAAAGGCACATACAGAATGTGGCGGGGTTAAACATTTTTGGGGGAGGGGGCATTTCAAACCCTAACTTAGAACAGGGGTGCAACAACATAACCCAAGAACAAACTGTCTAAAACAATAAACGAAAATAAATATGATATACAGCAATCAATCAACAACAACCACTCAATCACACATTAATTTGTAGCTTCTTAATAGATATATGAGGTTTTGACATCGGTAAACTACTGTTTTTTTTTCTTTCTTATTCATGACAATTCTCACAGATAGTGTAGGATGGTTTTAGCTTTATTTGCAATCGCTGAGATATAAACTATAAGAAACAAACCGTGTTTTCATTTTCAATTATCATTAATTCTTTACTATATGACATATCCAGTTATTCCACAAATGGACTGCAGTGATATGCCACCAGGGAGTAAAAGTGGTGTGTATACAATTCAACCAGCGGCGTGCAATAATATATCAGTGTTCTGTGACATGGAGACGGATGATACAGGCTGGACAGTAAGTCGTCAGTTGATTTTTTAAGATAAAAATCCGTTGTTCTGATTGTATTTGTTTTACAATTGAAAGACCAGGATTGATATCAGTCTATAAGAAGCATTAAAGTGCATAGGTGGTGTCGTGACCGCAAATATGAAAGCTCTCTGTTCCGGTCTCGCTCCTGTTGGAGTTCATGCGATTCCCTCGGTTTTTCTTTTTACCCAAATTTATCTATTCTTAATCGATTCAAGATATTTGAACAATGGTAAAATACTGTCGCCTTAATTCGATCCTCGAATGTGTTAAACTAAAGACGTTTACTTTGCTATTTCCGGTTTATCTCAAATTCACGTGGTAGTTGGACAAACAAAGTTACAAGGCATACGTATAAACTCGCAATTTAAAGGGTATAACATGAAAAAGTTATATTTCATCTATGCAGTTTTATAGGATTGCAATCAGTTGATCGTGTGCTTAATTTTGAGTATGAAATTCCTATCCTCTTTATATAATTTTTTTCCTCGGTCAACGCTTTTCCACACCACTAAGATTTCAGAAAAAAGCTTTCTATTCTAAAGTAAACAAATAAATAGGACCAACCCAAGAAGTTATTAAAGCTAACATTCTTTTTGTGTTGACAGGTAATTCAAAGACGATTTAATGGAACTACAGACTTTTACAGATATTGGGAGGACTACAAAAATGGGTTTGGAGATATTTCCGAAGAACATTGGCTTGGTAGTAGTTAACATTGCTTTTATAATTTTTTGAAATAACGAGGAAATTAATGTTTTATACTGACGCCTATTTAATTGCAATCTTTTTTTAAATCATACAAATTACTCTATGAGTTGTGAGTCAGACTTCTACAGTAAGTCTAATAAGGTGATTGTTGATTGTATTTATCACAGATATATTCGTCTAACTTGAAGTAAAAAATGAAAAAGATAAAGTTATTCGCTTCCGTTGCAACCAAATAAAGATCAATCATTTCCAGTCTGTATGGTTGACTATTTAATTGGTTTAATTGGCTATATGTAAGGTAAACAGAATTCAACCTATGAAATTATACTTAACATGGTAAAAATATTGCAACTACCTACATATATTATATAATGATGTTTAAAAAGAAATATTTCATTTTTCTTCAAAATTAAACAATGACAACAACTTCAATACTAAAAAGGAAGTGTGACTTTACTTAACAGCAATGTCGTTAGTAAATCGGAATTTTTAACAGTGAACCAAAATTATTTTGATACCCTTCAATGTGTTCTTCCTAAAATAAATTGGTAGATAAAAGGGAGACAATCAAACACACGTAAATGATAGACACACACACAATGAACAAAACCAAAAGGCACAAAGACGGACAGCACTGCACAAATCAATTACTGAGCAACACGAACCACAACAAAAACCTTTGAGGTAGCTCTAGTGCTCTGTTTCTACTACACAAGCAGAACTATAATGTTGTTAACATATATTTGAAGATGATAAAAGCAGTAAAACTATTTAATGTAATGCAGTAACATAAATGTAATGCATGACATAATATATCATAAATTAATTGGTAGGAAAAAAACTAATGACTGTTTTGTTCGTTCCTCAGGAAATGATAATATTTACCTTATTCTCAAGCATAAAGCCTACAAAGTAAGGTTCGACTTTGAAGCTTTCACAGGAGAAACAGCATATGCAATCTATGACACATTCAATGTTTTGGATGAGACGACAAATTACATACTACAAATCTCTGGCTATACTGGTACTGCAGGTAAAGTGATTTGTTTTATTTATGGTAGTATGGAGGTATCTTACCATCTTGAATCTGAAATGACTGCATATAATCCTGCTAGATCTTAACTCATATTAGAAAATTCTAAAGCAATAATGCAATTAGTTGTTTTAATAATAAACGAAGAAATCAATCATTTCATTGTATTATAATTACTTTTTACTTATTAGAGATAATTTTTTGATTAATTGAAATTATTTTTTTTTAAATTCTTATAAAGGGATATAGCTAAAATACTTTAGTTATATGATATGCACCCGAACTATAAATCGGCCTCATGTAAAAATAAGGAGATGTGGTATGATTTCTAATGAGACAACTATCCACCAAAATTCAAATGAAGTGGATGTAAGCAATTATAGGCAACCGTACGGCCTTCATCAATGAGAAAAATCCATACCGTATAGTCGGCTATAAAAGGCTTCATTTTCACATCTGTGCTTATAATAACATTAACGGTACAAATTTTACTGCACCAGATGACCTAAGATCGGGAAACTGGAAATTGCCATGGGACAAATTAGGAGGCCAAGAGGATAATTATACAATCACGTTTTAGTTAATACTTGTGAATTAATTGTTGTTCAAATAAAAAAATAAAGCATGTCAATATTTCTTACAGTAACTGGTTTCTTTTTTTTTCAAATCATTTTAATCAATTTTAGCATGTTTTATTTGGCATTGCTTTTTAAAGTCATTCTCAATATAAACTGCAGCTAGTTAGAAAAGTTTGACATGTACAAAATACATTTTCCCTGGACTACCATATTGCGGAATCCAATAAATGACGTCCAAAAGAATGTAAACAAGCGTTCTAATAAAAGTTATCTCACCTGAAAGAACTATCCTCTCTCAAATTTACTTAAATTCTAACATGAAGTTATACTAACATTCACGTAATAATGTTTTACCATGTATTACCTTACAAAATATGAGAACTTTCAACAACTTGTAGTTTTACAACATTGTCGGTTACTGATAACATTTTGGGAAACAAATATCTAATAAACTAATTTTCGGCAGCATAAAACATTCATCAACTGTCTATATATGCACTATCTTAATGAAGGTTTTGCACCACTTGAACGAAAATAAAATCCATGTATAGAAAAAACAAATTATCTGAGCAATATCAGCTGTCCAGATATACTAGTTAATGCTAAAACAAAACATTTTTGGTCGTTTTCATATTTTATAAACTACATTCAGATATCATTATATTTTAGTTTCACAGTGCGCAATATATGGTGTGCAGTTACTTTAATCGATTTTCTATACACGTTTGAATTAAAAAAAAAATCCGTTCATTTTCCAATGTAGATAAAAAAAATCATGTCCAATAAAGCTAGTCAGGAATAGTTTGACATGTATAAAATACATTTTTCCTGGACTACAATATTGCGGACACCCCTAGATGACGTCCAAAAGAACGTAAACAAATCACATTTACATATCATAATATTTTAGTTTTACATTGCGCAATATATGGTGTGCAGTGACTTCTATCGGTTTTCTATACATGTTTGAATCTCAAAAAAAAAAAAAAAAGAATTCTGTTCATTATCAAGTGAAGATGATAAAAAGTGCATGACCAATGTACAGTATATCTAAACAAATTATTACTTGGTGCTCTTTTACTGATCAAATTTTATTTTTATTTCAGGCGGTCAGAAACATTTTGATAACTAACATGTTATCAGAAAGAAAAACAAGATCGTGCTTATTATTAGTTCTAAAATATTTTCTTCACTATTTCATCGCGGAGCTCCAATAATTGTTTCATCGATTAAACGATAAAATAAGATAGGTACTTTTTTATCATTTTAATTTAAATTTCCATAAAATGTAAATGCTAGTAATTGATTGTTTTTATTAGAATTATATAATAGAAAATATATATGTAAAAAAAAAAACAGTAGTTGCAAAAAACAAACTTGAGTTATTTTTTTTTAAAATCAATAATCTATCGTCTTATGTTTTAATTTATACATTTATTCTTTTAATTGGCTTCTGAAAGATGCTATTGTTTCAATTTTTAGTTTTAAAAGATGGATGCATCTCCCTCAAAAGTCTTTGATTTCTTGTCCGGGTTTGGCTTTACTTTTTCATTTTTTTTTTTTTTTTTTTTTTTTTTATCTCTTTAACGTTTGTATTAAGTTGCGGATTTTCAATTATTTTTGTTTCGATCTTCACTACAGAGAAATGAATTGTAATAATACGCACCTGATAAAAATGGCAAATATAATATTATTAATTGAATTAATTGATAATATTTGATATCATAATCGTTATCCATCCCTCCCAAAAAATGAGTACATGGTATGTAGTTGAATTTACATGCACAATTACCCTTAAATCTGTCGATAAATATGAATATATTAGTCGCCCAGACGTTGAAAATAATGTGTGTGTTAGGATTTTTTTATAAGATTCAACAATCTGTTATTGATTGCTTACGTTCAATGTATAATCGATTTGCCACTAGCAATGTTTATGTCTGGAAATACCGTTAATTATATTCATTTCCTGTGTTTTAAACAGGTGACTCAATGAAAGATATTGATGGAACCAGAAACAATGGTTTAATGTTTTCTACACGTGACAGAGACAACGATATCTCAAACAAAAGCAGTTGTGGCATCTACAAAAGGAGTGGATGGTGGCACGCATGGTGTACCTGGGCAAATATCAACGGCATTTACTTTAATAATGGGGAAAGCAGCGTTCATTGGAAGTCTTGGTTAGGAATGAAAGGACTCAGAAAAACAAAAATGATGATTAAACAGAAGAAATAAAAGAGAAATATTAACTGTACTGAAAGCTTCACATTTCAATTTTTTTAATGAATGGATTCTATAAAAAGATTTAAGAAGGATTATCAATACCTTTACTAGTTTGGCTGAAATTAATAAAAAACAAATCAAGATAAAAACTGTCAATTATGACTTTCATTTTTAGATTAATAAGATTGCTAAATAGATGTTTTAATTTGGGCCCTCACCATATTTGACACACGGTACCGTTTTCTTGTTTTTGTTAAGTGTGCCTTGGTTTGTACACCCTCAAATTAGTTTATGTTTTGTAGTAAAAAAAAATTGAAATTGCAATTATCGGTGGTAGAAATTATTAGCTAAATATCCTGTCGCAAAGAAGAAATCTGTTAATGATTTTTGTCTTGCAATATTGATAAAAAAATTTTGAAGCAATACACAATTGTTTTATAGGAACATTTTGATGGCAGATAAGCAAGTTTTCATGTGCCTCGAGCTGTTCGGGATGATCTCCCTACGATTGTTTTAATGGGCTTTCATAAACATGTGCCCTTTTCTTTGGAACTGTTCCAAATAAACGCAACATATATGGTGTCTTCAGTGTATTTCCCGCGAATTTCTAATGCATATTGCTATCAACAACACGTTGTTATCTACATCATCTACTGCATCGTACTTTTAACTAAACAAATTTGTGAAGTTTCTGGAATTGAAACATAACTATGACGAGTTGTAGCATGTAAGCAATTTTTACATCTACATTGCAGCCATTTTCTGTTAACCGATCAATGACAAACATAATGATATAAGCTAATCCCTTGTCAACTTGCCTTTTCTGCTGTAACATATTTTCTGCCCCATCGTGTGGCATTTGCATATTTCAATGAATTCGTTACGTTTGTCCACATCATATGGACTTCGTTAACATGGGTGTGTTCCTGACGCAAAACCTTTTCCAGTAGTCTTATGAGGAAGAACGGCTTACAAATTATTCGAATGTAAGTGCAGTTTGTATTGATTAATTCATAATTATGAACGTACGAAAGTAAAAAGGCCAACGTCAAAATTTTAACATTATATTATTGTATTAATCAAAAAACTTGTAGGAAGAGGGTCAACCTTACAGTGCATGAAAAAGGGAAGGTTCGAAGCCTTAAAGAGATCTATCGTGCTTCAGGTGGTGATCATGGTGGAAGAGGTCTTTAAAATGATAGGAGTAGCATTGGTCCTGAAGCGATTAAAGCGTTTTTGAGGACAGACTTGATGCATATCTCACTCTAGCAAAAGAATTTAAAATCAGAAGATACGAATTATGAGAAAATTAACATGACTTTCCCTTTAACAGATTTTTAAAGAACTTTGTGAAGAACATTGGAATAGAAATTTGATGAAATCTGCCAATTTAGATCAGATATTTTGATGAAATACGGAAATAAAAGTATTGATGTAGATGTTTTTATTTTTCTGTATTTAAGTCAACCATTGCTGGCATAACCTTGACAGAATCTTGAACAAAGTATTTGAAACATGGCATCTGATGGTATCAATATTTAACTTCTATCCTAACTCATGAGATTGTCATAATCAACATAGATGCTTTATATTACATAATCATCCGTAACTATATTACGTTACTCATTTAGGGTGTTAAATTGTTATGAATATAACTCTTTTACATTAAAAAAATATATATATGTCGATATGAAATCTTAATATATATATTTTAATACTTAAAAAAAAATTTATTGGAATAAATGACTTGCTATTATTAAACAAAATCATTTGAATATGCGTCAAAGGCATAATTTTTTATCGTCCGTCTTTGCTATAATTCATAAAATTTATTAATATCAAATATATATAATTTTTATCCCTTGTAAGAAATTTTTAAATTGGGGCCGGATCGGCCTTAAGTGTAGGCCATATCGACTTGGGCCAAAACGACTTGGGGCAGGATCCACGAGAAAGCGGTTTTCGCAGCCCATAGCTTTTTAACCACAGCAAATACGAGAGCCACATACCAAAGACTACAACCTACACAACCATAGTATAGTATTTGAATTGAATATCACTTTCAATCATTTGAGACCAGCTGTATTTTCACTTGTTACTGTATACTTCAAATGCATCGTGCCAAGTATACAAAATTTATGCATATAGCGGCGTTTTGCATTTGCGCCAATTGTTTTTTTCATTTACGCCATTTTTGTTTTCATTTGCGCCATTATTTTTTCCAATTTTGCTCCAAATTGCGGTAAACACAAGTCATGAGACATATAAGTTATACAGAATTTATTGATATTATAATAAAAATACGCCTTCCGTCTGCAATCTGCCCACTGGGGAGTTGGATGTTGGATTTCGAGCAGGATTATTTTATTGTAAAAGTTTCTTAATCTATGTACATCACACGTAAAAAAAACACTCTTTATATCTCTCCCTATAGACAGCGAATGAAGCATTCTTTTAATATCCGGGTTAAAGGTGACTTTCTTCCATTCCTTGTAACTCTGTTCTGAAGATTTTGGCTGGTCTACTTGATATATCACCCAAAGCGTCCCAGGTGGGAAGTACCTTGGCGTTTACATCAGCAAGGATCTGTCGTGGCGAGAGCATATCAACCAGAAGACAGCGAAAGCCGCCAGAGCAGTTGGATTCGTGCGCAGGAATCTCAGGAAGTGTCCGAAGGAGGTGAAGAGACAGGCTTACACCACATTAGTGAGGCCTGACCTCGAGTATGCCAGCTCAGTCTGGGATCCCTACCAGCAACAGCAAATCCCGCATCTAGAAAATGTATAACGCCAGGCTGCGCGATTTGTCACATGGAATTACTACACAAGGGATCCTATCTTTGTCACAAACATGATTCAACAACTAGGTTAGGAACCACGAGAACACCGGAGAGCCAGCAACAAAGTTCTACAAAATCGTGAACAGTGTTGAAGAACAGTAGAAGTTCCTGTCCACCACCTGATCCATTTCCACAACACCAGGACCCGTGGTTCAATTGCACACAACATCAGACAGATACGAACGAGACTTGCTGTTGCAAATATTCATTTAACCTGCCACCATCATATCTTGGGATAACATACATCCAGATGACTTTGTTTTGGCGCAAATTAAAAAAAAAATGATATTTTTATATATAATAATCACGCATATAGGGAAGTTATTTCTATGTGTTAACTTTATGTCAAAATACTACACAAAATAAAATATGTCTTTTTAAAGTACTGATTTAACATTAATTGCAATAATTCTTTCGATTATTCAAGACAGATATCTCTAGCTAGAGGATAAAATTATCAAAAATTAGTTTGTCATTGCATGCTCTAAGTACGTGTTTACTTGTTATACGATAAATATGTATACTATACAATCATGTCGATATAACATGGAGCATCTTTTTCATACTATTCTGTCATATTACTATCGTACGACGATAGAGTTGTATATTACAAAGACATCTTGATATAATGTGGAGGCACCTTTTCATACTATCTTATCACCTCTCTATGCTATTATGACAGATTACTATATCATAATGATACATCTTTATTCTATAAAGACTTTTTGGTATAACAGTAATGTTATCCAAGGAATATAAAAAAGGTGCAAGTTTTTGTTTTTGTTTACGTGGAATTTAAAAAATTCGAGGTGAATATGGCATGTGAAAAATTGCCTTCCCCCTTTTTATACGAGAAAAGTCTGGAAGGAAAAATCAAAATTGCACCAAAAATTATACAGACCCTAAGACTATCTTAAAAAACAACAGCGTAAAAAGTGATACTTATTTAATTTTCCATGTTCAAAGTGAATAAAATTTACTTTATTTCTTTTTAAGTTATTGTAAGCTAATGATTTTCAGAAGGAATTAAGAAATATGTATTCTCAATAATTTCATAAAGAAGTGTGAACAAGACTGTGTAACTTTATCAAAAATCTTCAAAAACAATATCAGGGAAATGACATTTACATTTACATGTAGTAACAATTTCGTTACTGAATTTGTTATTTTCCCCAAATCTGTGCAGCTCAGAAAACAACAAGGTCATGTTTTTCAGCTTCTGCCTCTTTAAATTGTTGACTTGTGATTAATGCCTCCATGTTTAGATATTTTGTTATGAACTGCCAAATAGTTGAAGTTTGTTTATGTACCTCAAGTTACTTTCACATCCCAAGATCATCAAGGACGAAGTGGTGAATGGGTAGGAATATTTTGCTATCCTTTTTTTCTTTCTTTATTACAAAATTTATTCCATTTTTTATACGCCCGTCGAATTTTAACGGGACGTATTGTGGTGTACAAATATCCGTCCATCCGTCTGTCCGTCGTAAACATGTCGCACCGTATATTGAGAATGCCTTGCTTGATAAACTTCAAACATTACACAGTTGTTTGTTATGATAGTCTATCGGTCTGTATACTTTTTGGTGAAATTTTGATTTTTCCATCCAGAGTTATGGACTTTATTCATTCAAAAAGGAGGGAGGCAATTTTTCACATGTCGCACCGTATCTGTAGAATTCCTTACCCGATTATCTTTAAACTGTACTCAGTTCTTTGTGGTGATGGTCTCAAGGTCTGTATACTTTTTGGTGAAATTTTAACTTTTTGTTTTAGTTTAATGGACTTTATTCATTAAAAAGGGGGGTTTCACGTCGCGCTGTATCTTGAGAATGCTTGCTTGATTAACTTCAAACTTTACACTGTTGTCTGTAATGATAGTCTAATGGTCTGTATAATTTTTGGTGAAATTTTGATTTTTTTTCCAGAGTTATGGACTTCTTTCATATAAAAAGGGGGAGGCAATTTTTCATATGCTATATTCACGTCGAATTTATTAAATTCCACGTAAACAAAAAAAAAAAAAACACTTGCGCTTTTGTATATTCCTTGGTCAGCATTACTGTACGTTATACCAAAAAGTCTTTATAGAATAAAGATGTATCATTATGATATAGTAATCTGTCATAATAGCATAGAGAGGTGATAAGATAGTATGAAAAGGTGCCTTCACATTATATCAAGATGTCTTTGTAATATACGACTCTATCGTCGTACGATAGTAATATGACAGAATAGTAAAGTAAAATTACAAATCAGTATGAAAAGGTACATACATGTTATATCAAAACGTCTTTATAGTATATACATTTATCTTAGTGATATAGCAAATTGACAGATAGTACGATAGTAATATGACAGAATAGTATAGTAAAATGACAAATCAGTATGAAAAGGTAGCTCCATGTTATATAAAGAT